AAAAAAAAAAGGATGGGGGGCATTCTAAGAATCGAACTAGGGACCTCTCGCACCTAGAGCTAAAATCATTCCACTAGACCAAATGCCCTCAGCGTGAGTGATTTACAAAAGAATTATTACTCTTATAAATTAATTTATTATTTTTAGAAAATGAAAAATTTTAATTATATCCATTTAATATTATAATTTCATTTGGGAAATTTTAAAAGGCTGTTGAATGTTAATCGAACTTCAAAGGTCAAAGACCAATTTTAGCGAAATTCTCCTTAGTTAAGAGTTTTTCCCCCTTTACAAGTACGGTTCATTATGATGCAATCCTTAGAAAACTCCATCTTCATCTGGGGTTAGGGCTTTTCACCCAAATGCACAGAGGTAACATAAAAAACTCTGCCGCTTCCATTGTCAAAATCTATATATAACAAGGTATGCTTGTCGACCCATTTTAATAAAAAAATCTTATGATCTTTTGTCCCTGAATTTTAGCAATTTTTCATTTGAGTGGCCGAGACAATGTTATGGGTTCATTATGCGAAAAAAAATATTTCTTAGCAAATTTACCATTGAAATATTCTATGGTATTTGATTTCTTTGAATCCTTGGTAGGACTTTTTAAGTTTTTATTTATATTAAGTGCTTGATTTTTGTTTTAAAGTTCTTATATATTCACATATCTTTTTCCCAGTTTCTACTTTCAATTTTGGGCACTTGTTTACATTAAAGTCTGAAACTTTTCTGCAAAATTGGATCAAGTTATAGATCCTATGCAATTCTCTAGTAAAATCATGCTTTAGAAATTTTTTTTTTTCTTTTGGATAAGTATTCAGGAGCAAAAATGGCTGACAAGACACAGGAAGCCTTGACAAAGAAGCAGAATGGTGGGCACTGGAAAAGAAGTCTCGACAAAGAAGCTGAGAACTGGAAGTAGCAGCAACTCTAAACAACTCCAGGAAATGGTCTAAAAGAAGCAATTTTGCTCCTATATGCTGATTTCCTTGATTGTTGTAATGTAATGTTATGTACCAACTTGTTAACTTGAATTGGTATTGGCAGGAAACAAGGCCTTGGTCTGATCTTCCACATGACCTATTAAGATCCATTGCGGAAGGATTAGGATTTGATTGATCTTCTTGCCTTCAGGGGAGTCTGCAAGGCTTGGCACTCTGCATCTTCCACCTCGTCAGCCATGGTTGAATCCTTGCCCAATCGCGACCCTTGCTTTCTTCTCTACGGGTCATCAGTAACCCCTCAATGCAAATTGGTCCTTGAATCCTGCAACAAGTATTACACCGTTACCATCCCAGATTTGGTTGGAGCAACATGCATTGCATCGAAGCAGGGGTGGCTTCTTATCTTCCGAAGAAGGTCCATGTTCTTCTGTCCTTTCAGTGGCGCAAAAATAAACCTTCCGGAGTTCCCACACAAGGTTTTCCATGGCGGTGCCTCATTTTCTTCTACCCCAACTTCACCAGACTGTGTTGTCTGTGCCGTTTGTGAGACAGACGAAGATGGGACGAAAAAGACTGAATGCTGGGAGCTTCGCCGCAATGCCACTGTATGGACCATGAGGGACACTACAAACAGAAGCATGACACACATGACTTACTGTGTTTATCACGAAGACAGCTTCTCCTTCTGCAACAATGAAGATTATGGGGTAACATTTTATATCAAGCATGGAAGCTTAAGTCGACCGTTTCGGGTCTACCACACCACAGAGTTGAAACCTGGCGTGAAGTATCTACCATGGAAGAGGCACATTGTGGAAATGGATCGGGTGAAGGAAGTGCTGGGTTTGGCTGAGGAATTGACAGTTCCAACTTGTGAAACGGTTCTTGCCGGTAATGATAATCGGATCATAATCAATATTCCTGGAGAATGCGAAAGTGATTGCCTGAAAGGGGTGTGGATTCAGCCACGGTTCCATCAGATTGTTGCAGAACAGAGGTGGTGACTTTTGGGGGGGGTGGTGTTCAGGGCATTTTCTTGCTTGTGTTTTGTTGAACTTTTACTGGAATTATCGTGCCAAAGTCTGGGTGAATTGTTTTCTTTTGTCTTGCTGAACTGGGTTTCGCTTATGTTTTCGCTTGTATTGTCATTTTCATTGAGATTTAAGTAGACTGATACATAATCAAAATCCCAATGCAAGAATAGATTACATATTGGGCAAATTGATCTCTAACAAAGACTAGCCTTTTTTTTTTTTTTTTCAAATACCAATTTGGTTTTTCAATTTTTAAATTTGTATCAAAATTATTTTTTAACTTAAAAAAGTATCAAAATTATCCTTGAATTATAATTTTTGATGCTAAAATAGTTCTTGAATTTTGAAGATAAGTACTAATTTAGTTCTTGAACTTTGATTGCAAATATTAGATTGATCTTTCAATCTTGATTACATGTTAATTTGATTATAAATAGAAACATGTCATGATAGCAAAATATGGTTGTTTGAATTTACATATCATTAGTATTTTAAAAAAGAATTGATTTTGTAATAAAATAACAAGTTACGTGACATTTCTATTAACGAAAGGACTATTTTGATATTGAAAATTAAAGTTTTGAGACAATTTTGATATTTTCTTAAGTTAAGAGATGATTTTAATATAAATTTAAAAGCTGAGGGATAAATGATATTTTAACCTGTTTTAACCGTTGGTGGTATTTTTGGATTAATTTGCACATATTTTAAAAACCTAATACATCTTATTCATGTTGGACGGAAAATTTTATTTAAAAAATATTTATTTATTAAGTTTTGTAAAGAATCGAATGGTTTAAGCTTTTCTTTTTGTTTTTTTCTTGGCTAATAACCCAACAATAGCAAGATTGTGAAACTCAAAAGTTTATACAAACTTGTTACTGTAAAATCAAATCAATAACATCTCATTGCCCATCTTCAAAAAAATAAATA